AATGTGGAAACATTTGGAATGATAGCATGATGCCATAGACCTTTTCTCATAAACAACCTAAAAGTGTTGTCTAATGTGGGTTATTAAATGTGTCAAAGATTCCTTTGCTATATTTAGGTAAAATGTAAGTTTCTCTGCTCAAACATGGGAAATACTATTTTCTGGTATGGAGGAAAATAGTTCTACTAAGTAAAAATTCCACTTAACTGGAAACCATTGTTAAAAGACTCAGTTTCAAGAAGCAAAGTATTTGAAGTTTCATGTGTTTCTATGAATAGAAAAAAAACCCCTAATATGTATAAATCCCTTTTATAAAAATTTGTGCACATTATTTAGTCTATGAACATTAGTTGGTGAATGATATTTTAAAATAGTTTTTAAATTATCAAATCTGCATGAATATATTCTAATCAAAATAATAATATTATGCTGCTGGCAAGTATGCTTTGCATATATCTGTGCCCTGTGTTCTGAGAATGTGGTCTTGTTAAACATTAATTAAATTGAAGAAATACATTATAGCTTTAATAAGGAAACATATACTGAAATCAATGGGTTAAAATTGTCATAGGCAAGAATGATACCTGTTGTCAAAACAGAGGAAGAATATCTTAGGGTTTGATATTTGTGTCGCAGAGATGAGTTGGGTGGTTCAGATTTTGAATAGGTTATAAATAAATTATGGAGGTAATAGTGACAAATTCCCTTTTGATATAATCTAATAGGTGCTATACGTAAGTAATATATACTGTTATGGCTTAGATATGACATGACTCCCAAAAGCTCAGCTGAGACAATGCAAGAATTTTCAGAGGACATGAATAGATTATGAGAACTGTAAGCTAATCAGTGGATTAAACTACTTATCTGGATTAACTGGGTTTTAACTGTAGGTGGGTATGAAAACATAGGTGACTGGAGAGGTGCTTTGGGGGTTTATATTTTGTTCCTGGTGAGTGGGCTCTCTCTCTACTTCCTGTTGGCGTGTTCTGAACTGATTTTCTCCTCCATACCTTCCCACCATGACATTCTGCTTCATCTTGGGCCCAGAGAGGTGTGGTGTCAGCTGTCTATTGAAACTGTGAGCCAATATAACTTTTTGCTCCACTGTGTGTGTGTGTGTGTGTGTGTGTGTACACACATACACAAAGAGATACAGATATGTATATGTGTGTATATATGTAAGTATATATCATTATATAGAATTGCATGCTCTTAATTAAAAAACTGAAACAGAAGCTTTGGTTTAGGAATACTAATGTTAACATACTCTTAATACTAATGAATACTTGCCTTGTTGAAGAATGTGCCACATAAAAGTAAAATAAGTTTTTGAAATATTTAAAAATGTCACAGTGAAATCCAGGTAAATAAAGACAGAGTAAACGTAATTTACAAAATTCTCCTTTCTCTAGAGCTTTCAAAAAAGCGAAAATAGTAAGCAAAGCAAATAAATGTACTAACATCAAATGAACAAAGGGGCCCACCTTCACACATAGATTGTAAAATGTAGTAGTCAAGAAAGAAAATGAACTGATGAGGTTCATGATGTTTTCTCTGCCCTGACTGTGGGTCCCCGAGACCTCCTTTGGGGATAAAAGGTGATTTATGGGGCAAAAGGTAATTTGTTAAATCTAGTTAAATCTTGTTAAATCTTATGTTGTTAACATATCTGCAGATGGAGATACTGAAGTGAAAAAGGCACAAAAATTCCTCACGAGTTGAAAAATCCCTCCATTTTCTGTGGCATCTGTTAGGGACAGGAACTACTTTCAATGTCTACCTTTAAAAAAAAAAATTTCCAACACGTAGAAAATAATCAGGAAACTATATAATTCATACTAAAAATAATCATAGCACATGCAAATCAGATGAAATAAATATGGAAAAAACTTCAAGCCTTGCCCTATCCCTAAAATATTCTCAGACCTGTTTATAGAACTAAGAATCTGAATTCAAAAAGGTAAAAAACTCCAAAACAACATTTCAAGAGGCTGTCTATCATTTTTTGTTGATTGAATAAGAGAACAAAATTAAGACTAGAGAAATATTATTAAAGATTTGTCCTTAGAAATATTATTAAATATTTGTCCTTTGAAATAGCAATACAGTGCAGCCAAAATCATATTTCTATAATATGGGAAGAAATTGAGATAATTGTAGAATATTCTAAGACAAAATAAAAAAATATGTGAATGATAATGACATTTACTATATGGATAGATCTTATATATCAAGTAGAAAACCCAAGAATTTTTTTTGGAAGCTAGAAGAAAAATTTCTTGAAATGACAAACTAATTCTGTATAACAAAGAGGAAGTATTGTGAGGAAAAAGTGAGAAACCATAATTGTCAATCAGACTTATTCTGTTTAAGGTTTAAATTTCCTTCATAAAGAATTCTTCAGGAATATACTTAGGTACACAAACCAGAAACAAAAATTTCAAGTAGAAGTACAGACTGACTAGTCTCTTACATCTCCAGAGTTTCTTCCAAATATAATGAAGCTTTGTCTACAAACTTCAAATGAAAGTGGAATCCAAGACTATTGCCACAGGACAAATCATCCTTTAGTTACAAAGACAAAAGGAAAGAGAATTTCAAGGACTTCTTTGAAAAACTGCTCCACATTGAAATCTACCCAATAAAATGATGAATGGAGCATAGATGAGTAACAAATGTATAAGCAGCAGCAGGGAGTCAGGCAGTGTTGAAAGACATTGACCAGTGACTACAAATCTGTGAGGCGAAGAAAGGGTGAAGCAAACTTTTATTCTTAAGATCCAGCTATTCTTAGAGTATGAAAGCACAATAACTCGGGAGCCTTTGTTGTATACATATTTTAAAAAATCCACAAACACTTGGAGATGAAGTTTACTCAAAGAAATTGATTAAAGTTAGTTGACTTAAAAATAGAGAAATGTTTAAAAGTCAATTTCTTTGTAGTTATGTCTAAAGCATTTTTATTATGGTTACAGAGTAGAATATGAATCTAAAAAACCTGGTCAGGATAAAATCATGAGCAGAGGTAGGCTATTTGGGCAGAAGTTATGATGGGCTATCTCTTCTTTCATGAATGGATATAAGTTAATAGAGACATAAAAATGAATTGGATTGTCTTCATAAGTCCAGTGTCTTTATCATGTTAATGTTTTTTCTTAATTGTTAGAAACTAACATCTCTGGATATGGAGAATTATTTGAAGTTTAGTAATACTTTGTTTTACTGCATTTGGTTTACTTTTATTTAGATAATTAAAAGTGACACATTTAGTACAATCCCATTTTAATGAAAGGTATTTATATTTTTGATCCGTTATTTTGTCCTTCTAGCTTACTGTGTATATCATTTATATAGAATTGAGAGAAAGATACATAACTGACATTCAAAATGATTTATTTGGAGTAGTATTTTTTGGTGAATTTAAAAAAAAACCTTTTATAAATCTTGTTCACATTGCTAATTTTAAGAGGCCATACAATTTTTTATGACACAAGACTTCCTTCCCTTAAAAAACTAAGATGGCAAAATTTTAAACCACTTGTTAATCATTGTTAATCATTTGCTATTGGTAAAAGATGTTCAGAATTCCAAATCCTATCCTCAAGAATTTTACCTATCTTTTTAATGTTTAGGAGGCTAAATGAAATATCTCTTGTTCTTATTCTAGATATATATATATAAAATTTATATATTTCATTTATATATTTTTTATATATAAATTTTATATATTTATATCATTTCTATCATTTTATATCATTTATATATATGTTTTCATAAGGAATTTGTATTGTAAATTGTGTTTTTTTTTTACTTATGTACAATTATTGAACCTAAGATCTCAAGATGGGGTGTCAGGAACTTGGCAGGATCTGAGTTTATACCTACCCTACTTGAATGCAAGCTAGTTAGCCTGACATGCCACCATAGTTACTGGCAGAAGACTGCAGACTCCACATTTAGAGAAAAGACCAGGTGTTATTCAAAAACTCTGCAGTAGCTGGAGTAATAGTGTAGCACTGGTTTTCTGAATTGTAGTTACCATATAGTTAGGGTTAATTATGGCTAAGCAGTGGAGTGCATTAAAAAGAACTTTGATATCAGGAAACCCTGGTCTTGTACATGGGCTGCTGGCAAACCATCTCATTCTTCTGTCACAAGAGAGACATTATTACTTTGGAATGTCATGCGAATCTGCTCTAGGAAGACAAATGTCTCTATCTTTGCTTTCTGAAAAATAAGCAAATCTTCCCTATGAAGAGACATATCTGTCTTTGCAAGTCTGCTTGCTATGCAAACATCCTTGAAAAGACATTCTGGAGCAAATTACACATTATGCCTTTGAAAATGTTTGGATGCATGAGAGACCCAAGAAAAATTGTCTCCTTGTGATATCTAGAAGATGTGACTCCTTGATCCAATTTAATGTTGCACAGTGGAAGCTGATTTATTTTCTACTCAAGTTTTAATACATAGTTGATGACATGGAAGTGTGTGTGTGTGTGTGTGTGTGTGTGTGTGCGCGCGCGCTTGAATTTTAAGCACAGTTAGAATTTTAAATGGAAACTTAAAATGTTTGAACCAGCTAACTTTATAGTAAAGGTCTTGAAACTTTGATCACTTTCCCAAATTTTGTCACAATTCTATAAAATTAAGCTGTAGATTAAGGCTTTTACAAGTACAATTTGATGTTTTACTTGAGAACAGCATTGCATTTGAGAACTGTAAATTGTGAAGTATTCTACATGTAATGCCTGCTTCTAAGTGAAGCAATTTACTTTGTTCTTATTTGTTAAAAATATTCATTATTCACGGTCTATTTCAAATACCTTTTTTTTTTGGTAACCTGATAAACTTAAGCATGATTTTATTTTTGTATAGTGTCCTAGGCTATGTGTCTGTCTTAATAGCAATTATATGCTATGTTGTTTACACTTACATTTTCATGTTTTGTCATTCTATCCAGCTTGTAAACTTTTCATATTTGTCTTTTCTCCTAGCATATACATGTCAGATCTCAGGCTTTGTATAATGCTGGCAGTGATATTCAACATATCATCTTGGAGCAATGCTACAATTTTGTTTGTGTGAATGTAAGTAGAATATATAAATTATTGGATGTATTTGAGTATCCAAACAAGTGTAATGTCAAAGAGACCTAATTTTTTCTTAAATATTTGAACATAAGATTTTGAAAGATGAGTTGTGTTTTTTAGTATGGATTTGCATATTTTATTTTTTATCTTCTGAAATACAGAAATAACACTTCTTATCAAGCTAATGCTCATAAGAAAAAGAGAGTGATGTTTCTTTAGATAGTTTTATTGAATTTTCTTTTATTTTTAAACCTGAAGTTAAGTAGATTATGACTTATGCTTGAATTATTAGCTCAAATTTAATATGTATAATCTGTAAGTATCTTTTAAAACTGTTTTAAAATTAATCTTGGTAAATATTTTGAAAGCTACATAAAATCTCTTTATTTGGCTGGACATGGTGGTGAATGCCTATAATCCAAGCAGCTCCAGAAGGTTGTGGTAGAAGATCGTGAGTTCAAAGCCAGCTTTAGCAAAAGTGAGGCACTAAGCAACTCAGTGAGACCCTGTCTCTAAATAAAATACAAAATAGGGCTTGCGATGTGGCTCAGTGGTTGAGTGCCCCTGTGTTCAATCCCCTGTACCCTTGTCACCCCCTCCTCCCCCCCAAAATCTCTTTATTTTCCTTGAGTTAATTTTTAAATTATGTTAGATCTTTATTCCACTTCATTTTATTTTCTTGCTATTCCAGGTTAAGGAACCTGATTTCCAAGAGACCCAGAAGTTAATGAGTATGCTTGAAGAGAGCAACTTTTCCATTTTATATTCCATTGTTGTAGTTTCAGTAAGTGTTCACTTAATGAATGTAGATTTTTTCTCATCAAACTTGTGCTTACTTCCTCCTATGTTTCTGTTTAACAAAATTTATCGCATTAATAGCCTTGACTTGAACTCGGAAGGAACTTTTTTTTTGTGGATTTTGGGGCTTTCTTTCTCGTGATGTCTACTATAGACACTTTCTTACCGCAGTCATTCGGTTGAACTGTCATGTTCAGGAAGCTGTTTAATTCAACCTAACAAATAATTTCATTTCTTTTTCTTCATTAAAATTACAGCTACATGACTAAGTTTACTCTTTATTAGGATAATGTAAAAGAGCTTTATTTAGCATAACACCATAATTCCAATTAGCAAAGAAACCCCGAATTTTAAAAAAGTGAGGAAGAAATCTAATAAGAAAATCTGTTCTTGGTTTCGTCTTTTCTTTTCCATGGAAAGTGTAAATAGAAGAAGTGTAGAGACTTTGACTTTTTGAATTATCCTGAAATGATTTTGAATATTGATGACTTCTCCTATATGTGGCCAAAAGGCCATTTTAGTTTCCTGTGAATAAAAATGTGGTAGAACCATTCAGATAGTCTCCAAATTAATAGATGTGTGGAAAATATTTTGGTAATTGTAAAATAAAGTAAAACAAATGACTTAAATTTAAGTCTAGATAACTTAGAGCTTATATGTATGTCAATAATAAGAAAAATATAGACATAAATACATATTGCATTTGGGTATAAGAGTACGAATACACAGCCATATGTACCTCTGTGTGTAATTAAGATGTACATGTACTAGGCAATGCAGGGACTGTAGAATCTACATTTACATGAATTAACTTTGTTACAAAATTAGTAGTAGGAGGCTTTCTCCTTGCTTTATCTTTTTGTTTTTGTTTTTAAATGATATTAAACAATTTTTTTTATTGTTGGTCGTTCAAAACATTACATCTTTCTTGATATATCATATTTCACAGTTTGATTCAAAAGGGTTATGAACTCCCATTTTTACCCCGTATACAGATTGCTGAATCACATCAGTTACATCAATTACATTTCCATTGATTTACATATTGCCATTCTGGTTTCTGATGAATTCTGCTCTCTATCCTATCCTCTACTATCCCCCCTCCCCTCCCTTCCCCTCCCGATATTAAACAATTTTAAATTCTGAGGAGAATGGTCAAAAAAGGAGTCTTTTTTTCCCTAAACAGATAGGCTTTATTTCACAGAAATATATTAGAAAATGACATCAAAATCATAGGAAAAATACATTATTTTGGCATATGTGATTCAATAGATATTGAATGCATATATTGTTAATGTTGAAAGGCCTATTTTACTGACTAGGAGCTGTGTGACTCACTGTGACACTCACAGTATCACCTGAGAATGTCATAGTGCTAATCTGGGAGAAGATGAAAGACAAACATTGAAGTTTGGTTTCTATTGAATGTATATTGTTTTCCTATGATAGTAAATCAAAAAATTTTAAGTGGAACCATCATAAGTTACTGCCCATTTTTATTGCTATCCCCTTTATCATATTGCATCACTCAAGAGGGTTTTCTAAGTAGACACAGTGATATATACCTATAATTCCAGTGCTACAGGAGGATCTCAAGTTCAAGGCCAGCCTGGGAAACTTCTCTAGATAAAAGTAGAACAAACAAAAAGGATGTGGAGGTAACTCAGTGGTAGAGCAACACTGGGTTCTATTCCTAGTACTGCCAAAAAAAAAAGAAAAGAAAAAATGTTATTAGAGTAGCCTAAGAACACCACCTATAGACATAGGATGTATCCAGTTCTTTATTTTCTAATTTTATGGTGTATGTTCATTACTGAAATAGTGATGAACAAACACTTAGAAAATAAAGTAATGAATGTCTTAAAATACTAAAAATTAAAAAGTCTCAGAAAAAAAGTATATGCTTTTATCTAAATTAGAATGAAATGCACTAAAAATCTTAGTTAGGCTGATTTCTTGTTTGTAAGCTAATAATCAGAATTTTTCTCCCCCAGCAATTGAGAAAAGAGATTTCACGAGGCAAAACTACCTATTGCTATTTTCCAGGAAAGATTATGTAAAGCCACTTGTGAAACCAATATCTTCTCTCATAAAAACTAGTAAAATAGGGATTCTAATTTATTTGGTTCTGTCAACATTTCCACAAAACATTCTTTGTTAGTATCAGATGGAATAACGGACAATACATTTTTATATAAAGCTGTTTTTTTTTTTTTGTTTTTTGTTTTTAGTGAACACATTTTATTCACTTAGTGGATACCAGATAAATGTTTAGTCATTAAAATTGGGAAGAGATGGGTAAAAAATATAGTTGAAAGTACAAAATTGGTAAATGAAAACTTTAATTTTATTTGATAAATGGTTTGTCACTTCTGTACATCAAAATGATTTTGTAGTAATGCTCTGTGTAATTACATGAGGGTACTACTTTTTGGGGCTCATGTCAACAGTTTTATTGGTGCACTATGAGACAAAGGAATCCTTTTAAGAATTTAATTTACAAAAACAAATTGTCAGGTGGACTTCCAATATTATGACAAACAAGTAAATCTTTCAAAGTGCCTAATTTAGTTTCAGTTAGTAGAAGGTTGCATAGTAACATAACAAATCAGAATGTGATATTCAAAATACTTTAAAATGTTTAATATTTGAACATGCCAGCAAATTAAAAAAAGGAAAACCACCATCCATTGATACTTGATACTTCCACATATGGCAAAATTGTCAGAGATGTAAATTATTTCCAGAAGGTTCCATAACTCAAAATGGCAGCATCAGGAAGAGACTCATTCTAGTGTGGAGTATATCATATACACTTGTTACTTTTACACTCCTGAATGTGTTAATAATGGAAAGAGATTAAAAATATACATATAGCATAAATGTATCTGATATTTCTAATGAAGAACATATGACAGTTGGAAAAACACAGTGAGTCCCTCTTTTAAGTGCTAATGGTTTCTTCACAGCACATTGAGCCTTGACTGAATTTAAGTTATAAAAATCTTTGGTCCTGTTAAGTTTTTTACCAGATCCTAGACATGAATCTTTGTCACCTTTTACTTAACTCCTTGTTCTGTACATTTCTTCTTGTTAACCCTGTTATTACTAGACTAAGTAAATGTGTTTTCAAGACACAAGTTCTTATAAAACAAACAAAAGAGAGCTACTTTAATTCTCACTCCTTCATATTGGGTTTACTTTTTACAATATTGATGTTTCAGATTATTTTTATTTTTAAGTAGGGGTGTGTGTGTGAGAGAGAGAGAGAAAGAGAGAGAGAGAGTGTAGCAGCAATTGATATACTTCAGGAGCGTGTTGAAATACCTGTTGTGCTCCAGTCTCAAACTTATTGCTATTGTAGCCTCATGAATACTTTTATTTTTCCTTTATAAGCATTATAACTTTTTTATATATTAAACTTTTTATGATGTTTCACTTGAAGTATATTAAAGTTTTCTCCTTCATGGCTTTTATACTACTTGAGTAGCAGAAATAGAATCATTTGTGCACATTCTATAAATTTTTTCATTTGTTTTCTGTTAATGTAGTCAGTCTCAGGTATTTCCTGCCTAAATCAATAATAAAACCAAAATAAATACTGGTTAAAAACACCTTTTGAACCGTTTTCCAACTGTGGTCGTGAAGGAATTCATTTCTAACACAAGGATGAGGAATGATGAAATCATTCTCATGGGAGGTGTTGAATAGAAAGAATTGACTGTGTTGTTATACGTTTAAGGAGATCTTTGCTTATGGCTAAATTGTTAATGAAAAGCTTGTGTTGTGGGATATAGAAATTCTCAAAGATTAATTATGATGGACATATAACTGATGTATAAAGAAATCATTCTCATAGAACACACCTTCCTGGGATTCATTGTTTTTAAAGAATAGAGGCTATTTATTTTCAGATTAACAGTGGTGCTCTAATAGAATACGTAAATAGAATGAATTCCAGATGACTTTTTCCAATCTTCATGAATGTATGTATATTTTTAATTGATTTTTTATATATGACAGTGGAGTACATTATAATTCATATTATACACATAGAGCACATTTTTTCATATCTCTAGTTGTATATAAAGTATGTTGACACCAATTCGTGTCTTCATACCTGTACTTTGGATAATGATGTTCATCACATTCCACCATCATTGCTAACCCCTTGCCCCTTCCTTCTCCTCCCACCCCTCTGTCCTATCTAGAGTTTGCTATTCCTCCCACGCTCTCCCTCCCTATCCCATTATGATCAGCTTCCTTATATCAGAAAAAACATTCAGCATTTTGTTTTTTGGGATTGGCTAATTTCACTTAGCAATCTTTTCCAACTCCATCCTTTTACCTGCAAATGCCATGATTTTATTCTTTTTTATCGATGAGTAATATTTCATTGTGTATATATGCCATATTTTTTATCCATCATGAATATATATATATTTTTTAACTAAGCAGAGTTTGGAATTGCTATTTCCCTGTTTTATGTAGTTTAATTAACTCGGAATGAGATGAACAAAGTTTTTTGTGCATTTCTTTGCCAATGTTATAATCACTTTGTAAATTTTAACATAAGAATTGTACAGGGGCAAAAACAAAATGTGAAAGTGGACTGCTTTGTCAGGGAGTTAACATTGATTTTGGCTCTAGAGGAGTTGATCTCAATGACTTGGCCATTCAGTGTTTCAGAAATATGCCTGGCCATTTGTCACTAGATTGTTGGTTGTGTTACTGAATTTCACTTAAGTATTGAAATGGTCATTCATTTAACTCTATTATGCTATTTACAATGATGCATCATATAAATTTTCAGTGTAATTATTTTAAAATGATACATGCTATGCTTATATAATTAGTAAATTAAAGTGATTCATATTAATATAAAAATAAATATGCTAAAACTGACCTTGCTTAGACTATTTAAAAGAGTTTAATTTCTTATAGGAAAATAATTTCTTGTGTAACCAAGATGGTATGTGTGCTCAG